GTTTCGAAAAAATTTATAACAAATGAATTTTTATTCAATTCTTTTCATATTTGTTGAAAACTGCAACAAATTTAATATTGTTTTTGTTTACTGCATTGTCGAAGCTGCAACATTGATATTTCTATATTTGTACAGCGACTCAATAGATTGCTTAGTTAACTATAAAGACAAATTTGATGGTGACAATTTTTAAATACAGTTGCGATGCAAGGTTGGATTCAAAATGAAAAAACACTCTTTTGTTGGACTAGTTTTTTGCTGGTATTTAAACAGATAAATAAATATATAAATATAAATAAGTGAAAGCTATAAAGTAACTCTATTATTGTTTTGGTCAAAAAAATCAGCTTGATTTTTAAAGCACCTATGTGCATTAAACACTTTACAGCCCAAGTAGAATCTATAGACTTAGCTGTCCAGCAATTTACATTAACGAAAAGCACCGACAGTTCGGTAGCTTTCTCATAAAAACCAGATTTACACTTTGTCTTGATAACATCTTTTTTTACTTAACTTATGCAGCCTTTCACATTTCTCTTTCCCAAAGCAAAAGCTTTTGAAACGTGTGGTTTAAATGTTTTAGCAAAAATAAACAGTTTTTTAGATGTTCTATACAGCTTATTCAATAAAATTATTGAAAAATTTAAGAAGCTTTAAATATTTACTCTTAAAATCAGGAGTTCGCTAAAGGTATGTTTGTACAGTTGATCAAAGTTTACATGTGGTTTTTTTTTAAACAGAAAATTGATTCAAAAAGACTTTTACAAACTGCTTATTTAAGTATTTCAGAAGACAAAAATGCAATTTTTCATTTTTTTTTTAAAATAATTAATATTTTTTGTATAAAAACTTATTTGAAAGACTGTTTTTTTACACACTTTTAACTACTTTATATTACATCTTACCTGACGCATTTTTAGCTTCATAAGTCTATTTGAGTTACTCTTCAGATGTCAGCTATTTTTCTTCTATTATTATCTACCAGAAAACATTTTAGAATAAATTTGGAATAGCTAAGCAAAAGTGTACTAAATTAAAAAGCCTTAATATTTTTTTAAGTTAAATTTGGAAAACATTTTTTATCTTCTAGTATTTAA